ATTTATTAATAATAATAACAAATAACAAAAAATATCAAATAATAACACGTGTGTATGGTGTATATATAATAATATAGTATTATGGTACAACGGTCTGCGTGGTGACAGCCGACAGGTCAGGGTCGCTCGTGTGATACGGCCGAGAAAACACAAATGTCAAGCGCGGCGTTGCCCCCGTGGCGCAGAGGGATGCATAGACAGTGAAATCGCATAGCGTCGTTGGCAAGATATTGTAAATACATAAGTTACATAACTGTATATGAGTGTAGAATGTAATATTATACTTTTATTGTAGTAAATAGTAATATTATGTTATATTATGTAACATTCGGAGCAACGGAACTGTCAAATGCGCGGCAATGAGTTCCGCAGTGGTGTTGTAGAAGGCAGATGTGGGGATAAACTTGAAAATAAAATCCCTCTGCAGTGATCACGATAACTGATGATCATTGAAAGTTCGACCGCGGGAGTGCTGGTCAGAATTTTAACATCCCTTGAGTTCAGAATAAGTATCAAACATATACCTTAATCAGATTAAAACTGAAACTACACAATATATACACTGTTTCAAAAGAGAATATACCAGATTTACATGAGAAAACCGGTTTTGCCAGTGGCCGCCTGGTATGTTCTCTTTTGAAACAGGGTATAGCTGTACGTTTATTATTGATACGTACACTGGCACAATTTTCTAAAGATTTTCGAGGTGATCAAGTGTATATTGTAATAACTAATAATACAAATATTTTTTTTCTTTTAACACATATTATAATAAAATGCACTTGAACATAAACATAAGCATAAATTATTATGGACACTTAATATACAATTTTAAAAACTCAGCTAGTACTCTAATTTGTAAGCTCAGAACAGGTAGGTGCTATCTCAAATTAATATCAAATTGTTCAAGAGAGTCATTTTAAACTATTTTCAACTTGCAATTGTATTATATTTTTTCGTAATGAATGATTTCTAGTGATTGGCACATCTATAACTACACAAAATTGTTAAGCGTTAACCCTATCATTTTTTTTCAAAATTCAACTTAAAAAAACAAAAATGTAAACAATTCTCAATAAAAACCAAAAAGTTTGTCAGATAGAACCATTTGGTGTTTATATATTAGATTTGCTTAATTAGAACTTTTCGTTCTGAATAAATGTATATTTTTACTAAGATGTTACCAACCTCGTAATAATAAATAATGTGCCATTGGCTTTTCATTTGAACAGATGAGAACCTATTTACAAGACCATGACTAAAGAGTGAGTTAAAGGTTCAGCCACTACGTAATAATAGTTTCATTAGGGATCAGTATCTAAAGGGTGTTCATTTGGACTATTGAATTTTAAAATTGTAACAAGTTTTCTGTATTGTAATTTTATGTTTTCTCATTGGGCAGTCTTTTACGAAGTGCTACATCGATTACACTTGTTCATCCAAAGATGAGCTACCTAAAATACAAAATATAAATTTTAATATAGTGAACAGTGGTTGATCATAAATGTATTTTTATAAATCAAATATTGGAGTGTTTGGACACGCAGTTTGAATTTCTCGTCTTGGTCACTTAAAGTATTTATAGATACATAAGTGCTTACACTAGATTTATTATCATCGTTATCCTCATTGTTGTTGTCATACCTTTAAACAGTGGACATGTCATGCACTGGTCCGTAAAATGATTTTGAACACTAAGTTTTCAGTGTCAGATATAGTTTTTATATACTACATAAATAAGTGGAGGACACCGGAGTCGACTACGATTAATGATACATGAACAGGTGATTACCACGGTTGATGGAGCCTAACTCAATGGCATCATTTGAGGGGGACAAGTGGCCAGTGGGACATTTGTTCTAGTTTTTACATAAACCTTAAGTTGACACATTTAAAAATTATAAGAAGTCTTAGTTAACTTCTAATACTATATCTTAATATTGATATTTGAAAAATCAAAGAAGTTTGTAATTATTTATCTTTTAATTATTGATAACCGACCGGTTACCTTATCTTAGTGAGGCAGTTGATATTGGCACCTGGCGGGTATTCACACATTTAGATTTTAGACACAACTATTTAGACACACTGTCACGCTACATAATACAATAAACTGCTCACAATTGTGGTACTATGGTGTACAACAAAAAAGAATTGTTAAATTTTTAGAATAGTACAAACTTAAAACTACCACAATGAGACAATACCCATAGTGTAAGTAAAAATATTTATTTTTTTTGTAATTTCTGATATTTCTTATACTATAACAGTATAACAATACCCACATCAAAATATCAGATAAGACCTTTTCATTAAATATAACATTATGTTTAATTTCCATTATTAGTCATTTTTTACCATAGTGGCATACTCGCATACCCATTTTATATTTAAGTATTTGCATGTGACTGTAAATATTGTTAACTGATTGTTAATCAGTAGAAGGCATTTATTAATTATTTTATTAATTATTCGCACATTATTACTCAATATTCTATTATGACTTACCTACTATTACACATTTTACAAAACTGTGGATCTATATGCTATGTGAATCTACTTGAAAAAAATGTTGAATTGACAAATCAGTGATTGGGTCAAGCGTCTTAGTCTAACAAAAATTGAAATGATGCAATTGGCCTAACCTTATTATAAAATGTATTATAAGAATATGGTGTTTTTGTTTTCAGTGTCCCAGTTAATTTTGTCTTATACATCGACATGTTAGCTCAAATCTCTATAAGAATGTTGGTGATTATTAAGAGTTTAAACTGTTTGAAGAATAAAGTTGTTAATAGAGTTTTGTTCTAACGAAGGTCACTGGAATTTATGCTCAATTCTAAGCTTTTTTGGACAAGTTTATTATTTGGCATTTGTGTTCGAAGAGTGAAAACCATATCGTTTTTCCAGACTACTGTGGTATAACGATGTAGTTTTTACTTGTTTAACGTATTTTCTCTCACTTATAGTTTCGGAGGAAAATGGCTTTTTTAGTAAATTTTGGTTGTCATTACATTTTATTTTTAAATAAATATTTTTTTTAATGTCCTTATATTCTTTTTCGGTTCAAATAGACATTGGAAAATTCCATAATTATTTTATTTAATGAAATAAAGTATTTCAGTATAATATTATATACTATAATAATATATCTATATAGTGAAAATTGATTTTTCTTACTCTTTCAGCTTCATAATATAGCTAGACATGTTGGCTAACTTCTCAGTTCGGCGTTTAAGGTTGGTTCTCTCGATAAAATGAATCTATTACATGACGATAAGTTGTAGTCCTCATAGACAACAATTCGGATTCGGAAGCAGTAGTATAAAATGGACAGTTCTGATGCCTCAACCCTCAACCCTCAACCCTCAACCCTCAACCTCAACCGCCGCCGCCCGATCGCTTACGTGTGTGACGTATATTTACCCCCACTACCGACGCCGCCGCCCGTTCAGGAACGTAACTAACATATATTACTATCTATACAACATCTGATGTGTTATCAGATACGTTATCATCTCATTATCAAGTTATCACTATCGTACACTCAGAGATTTTAAATAAC